TGTAGACCGCGGCGTGGGGGCGGTTCGGGACGTTTCCTGCCTGGGAGAACTGAATCGTAGATCCGCCGCAATCCAGCTCCAGCAACAAAGCCGGGGAGCCCTGGCACCGCGTCGCCCTCGCAGGCAGCGGAGGGCTCAGGCCCCCGCCCGGCTCGTACACCGCAGCGCCGCTCCCGGGGTGGATGCGGCAGAGGCTCCGGCTCTGCGCGGGGAAGGCGAGCGCCGCGGCGCCTTCTGGCGGGCGCAGAGGAGATTACTCCGGCGAGGAGCCCTCGCTGGAAGGTCCCTGCATCCCTTCGCCCCCAGGCCGTTAACGGTCCCCGCCATTTCCCAACTCGTTCAGTTTGTAGCCTAGGGGAGATGATTGGGCGCAATAGGCAGGGGGCGGACAGTACGTGGTCTAACCTCAAGGCAAGGAAAACTTGAGCAGGTAGGATGGGATTAAGGAAACCAGCCAGCCCTGGAGATAAACACTGCCTAAATTAACAAAGACGGTTACCTCCCTCGGCCCCTCTTCTCCGAACTCCCAGCAATCAACTGAGGTAAGCCAACTGAGGTAAGCCGTTACTGAAAGGCCTACTTCCCCTGTTGTGAAGAGGAACCGCAGGAATCATTAGGTAGCAAGTGGTTCTTTCAAACATAGGCCATAGGTGGCTTGACTCCTGACCCTGACCAGAATTAAAGTCCTATGCTTCTCAGAAGGATCCAAATTTAAGAGAAAAACAACTAGAATACGATGGAGATTGAGAATGGAGGGGAGGATTGGGACCACTGGACGAACTGCGTGCGTCTGCTGGGGGAAAAGGGGAATTCCACCCTGAAAGCGAAATTTCCAGACCAAATATTAAAAGTAAAATTAATGAAACCTTTAAAATAAATCAAGCATTTTTTTTGTTACCAGTTGGAAGACCTCCGTAAGCAAGAGGTAAAGGGAAATATTAATAAACCTGCCTATATAAAAATACTTGATAGTCGTCAGGTGTGAGAACCAAAATTAGGTTTGAATAAGAGATCCATGAAACAAAAATGTCCATAACCTGTAAGCCCCTTGCCAGACAGATACTTCCCAAGATGCTGGAGGCTGTTGTTCTGTAAGATAACAAGTTACCTGTTTTCATTTCCCCAAAGAAGCTTAGTTCACACCCAACTGCACTGGAAGTGCTTGAGAGCCACACTTAGGTAGGCGGTACATAGAAACTACATCAGGAGGTAAGCTTGTCTCTGAGTGCGTTTGCCATTATAAGTATCTGGCCAATGTAGGCCATTTTCTGGGAGCCCTGGAATGGACTAAGGCCGGGTCCATCATCCTGGTCAGTATTTAATCAAAGCTTGCTTTAAATTTGGTTCAAAAATTGTGGTAGTGGTCTTATTCTCAACCAGTGGGATTAGCATTTTCTGGAGGCCCCGACCCAAATTCTAAAGCCAAGCCAGACCTTCACTCCAGAACTCTGAGCCTGTGGGGAGGACACTCGGGAGACACATACCTTCAGGCTTTGCGAGACTCCAAGGCTGCCTTCAGTTTTCTGGAATATCGGTGAACTGTGTGCTGAGAAAAGCAGCAAGCGTCTGCTACGGAGGCCTCCTGAGATCTGCTGAATATGGCACTGGAAATATTTAATGGAAAAAGGTTACTATGACAGACGAGACCACAGCTTCTAGCAGTGACCCCAGGGTCCCCAAAGAAACGATGGCACATGATGGCTTCGTCTGAACTGTGGTAATGCTAACCACTGAGAGAAACTGCCCTACACCCCACCTGCCGCCGAGGCTCTGCCCAGACTATGTATGGACACTGTTGTCTTGACTGTTGTACACTCTGCCTGGTCAGTCCCCCTAAATTCCTCACTGGATCGTCTCTCAGAACTTGGCCATTTTCTGGGAATCCTGGAATGGACCTGGCCTGATCCATCATCCTGACTAGTATTTAATTAAAGCTTGCTTTAAATTTGGTTCAAAAATTGTGGTGATCTTATTCTCAACCAGTGGGATTAACGCAGGTTTAGTGGCACATGCCTGTAATCCTAACACTGTGGAGGCAGAAGCTGGAGGACTGGATTTTTTTTTGGTCTGGGTTATGTTAATGAGATTCCTCTCAGTGGGGGCTGGAGAAATGATGCAGTGATTAAGAGCCTTTCTTCCCCATCCAGAGGACCCAAGTTTGATTCCCAGCACTCATGTTGGGTGGCTCACAACTTTCTGTTAGCTCCAACACCAGGGGATTGGATGCCCTGTTCTGGTCTCAGGCACTCACAGACACAAGTAGCATACACTCACGGAGATAAACACGGAGATACTCACTCAGAAGGGCTGGGGATTAAGCTGAGCAATAGGATGCTTGTTCTTCTGAGATTTTTTTCATATGTTGCTTTCCCTACATGTGAAAATCTCATATAAAACACACACACACACACGTATGTTCTTCATAATATGCATGCACAGGTGTCAAAACAATTTGTTAGGATGTGGTGGTTTGGATGAGGAATGTCTTCCATTGGCTCAGGTATTGAAAACTTGGTCTCCAGTTGATGACCCTGTTTGGGGAGGTGGTGCAGCCTCGCAGGAGGACGCTCTCATTGGGCGTGAGCATTTGCGAGTTCATAGTCAGGCCACACCTGCAGTCACTCTCTCTGCTTCATTTTTGTCAGCCGAGGTGTGATCTCTCATATTACCGCTGTTGCCATGCCTCCCACCACAATGGACTTAGATTTCCCAGAAGCCACAAGCACAAATAAACCCTTTCTTCCTTAAGTCATCTTTAGTAATGGATCTTACCATGGCAACAGAAAAGGAACAAATCCATAGGCTAGCCTAGATTCAAGGAGTCATTAAATATCATCTTTGGGGTCAGCACAGACTAGCCTAGATTTAAGGGGCCATTAACTATTACCTTTGGGGCCAGCGACATAGTGCAGCCAGTAAAAGCGCTTGCTACTCAAGTTTGAGCACATGATTAGATGTCCGTGTAAACACACACACTCATGATAAAAATAAACTTCTCGATCAGTGTGACAATTTCTAATCTTCCATGATCACTAGTGACCAAAATCTTTTCTTTAAAACTTACCTTGTACTCAGTAAATATTATACATTTATATTTAGTAATTAAATATATATTGGAAAACACTTTAGCAATATCAAATTACATGCCTCCTTGCTTTCTGGAAGGATCATATACAACCTAATATAGTCTTATATTTACTGTAAAAAAAAGTAGGATTCAGCTAACACAAGATGCCCTGGGATGATATCACAGGCCTATAATACCAGCTTCTTGGGAGGTTGAAGCAACAGGATCAGAAGTTTGAGGTTAGCTTGGGCAGCACAATGAATTTAAGGCACACACCCATCCATAATGCCAGTTCTAGGGGTGCTGACACCTCTTCTGATCTCCATGGGCACCAGGCAAACAAATGGTGAGCAAACATACACGCAGGCAAAACATTCCTGCACTAATGCAAAATAAAATAAAACCTCTTAGACTAACGAGACAGCATGGTATACAAAGACACTTCCGCCCAAGCCTGAGTTCCATCCAGGGAACTCAGAAGGGCAGAGCAGACATTCTCAGCTTGTCCTCTGACCTCCATATTGGTGTGTGGCACCCTCACCAGTGTGCACACATGAAAGCACACACTAATTAGTGTAAAAACAATTAAGTTCCCTTTAGAAAGCCTGTTTATGAGAATTTATCACCTACAGAAGGAAGTCTAATAGTTACAAAAAAAAGGTGCCAGTCTTTATAATCTTGTGTCCAGCCTGTGTTTACATCTCTTAGTTCAAATAATTTCTCATCTCTGTGACTAAATCTTCAACTCCAGAGACTATTGCTCCATTCCGTTGTTTAGAAAGGAAGACTGTGCGTGTCACTGACTTTACCAGTACAAGCAGCAACATTTTTTTTTTTCGAGACAGGGTTTCTCTGTAGCTTTGGAGCCTGTCTTGGAGCTGGCTCTTGTAGACCAGGCTGGCCTCGAACTCACAGAGATCCTCTTGACTCTGCCTCCCAAGCGCTGGGATTAAAGGCGTGCGCCACCACCACCTTGTAGCTGGAGCATCTGGATCTCAGGTTCCTAGAATAGAGTGGCGTAATTTTTCCTTAAGGAGATCAAATTCTCTGGGCAAACCTAAAATGGCTCAGCAAGAATAGAGGATGGATGTGTCTCCACAGGGTCTTGTCCTGCCACTGGGCACCTCAGCAGAACACGTACCTAGCATGGGTGGTGCTGAATAGAGAATCAGCTGAAAAAGCTTTAATTGCTTTTGCAAAATCCACTCAAGCAAACGGCCTAAATCAGCATCTGAACAACTGAAAGCCCCACTTTCCCAAGCAGACGCACCAATCATTTATTTCAAAATTATATAGATGGTAGAAGATTCCATGTCAGATTGTCTTCCCTGGCTAATAATTAGTTTATCATCACAAAAATTGGTAAATTCCTATAAAAAGTAGGAAGGAGAATTAGAAAAGGGGGATTGTCTGTGGGAGAGGGAAACAGGGAAGGACAGTCAGAGGGGATGGAATAAACAAGGACAAAGTCTAAGGACACAAATGTATGAAAATGCCGCGATGCATGGCGGTGCTGCATGGTGGTGCACATCTTTAATCCCAGCACTCGGGAGGCAGAGGCTGCAAATCTCCGAGTCTGAGGTCAGTCTGGTCTACAGAGAGTTCCAGGACAGCCAGGGCTACCCAGCGATACTGGAGAAAAAAAAAAAAAAGTGGGGGAAAAGAGGAAGAAAATGACACAAACTAGTTGTTTTATGTGCTCACCCTAAAAAAAAAGCGGAAAAGGAAGAAACAGCAGCAGATTCTGCCTTCGTTGCCTCCGTTTTGCTGCGAGCAAGAGTTGAGCATTGCTAGAGGCCGGGAGCTGTCTCCAGAATGTCTGCCTGCTGTGTTTCTCGGCTGAGTTCTGCTGCTGTCTGGAAAAAGGCAAGCCTTGCTGCCAGGGTGTGTTCTAGTCATTGGCCGATGTGCAGCTGGCCCACACCTGCCCACCCCCTAGGTGGCCTTCCCTGCAGTCATCCCCCTGCCTCACCTCTGGAGGGCATCTCCACACCCAGAGAGGAGTGACTTAGAAATAATTTCAAACTGAGTATTTGGAAGAAGAATACAGAGCAGATTTAATATCTAAAAGGAACGTGTTCTATGGGATGGTTGCTCGGTGAGGAAGAGGCCGACGTTTGGAAGGAAAGCTATGACTTGAAAATAGAAATGTCCAACTTTATCGCCGTGTAGATATTTGCGCAGAAGCTGTGAACAGAATGGACTGCCTAGCAGCACCTCTGTCCTGTGGAATTTTTCTCTCAGCGCCATAACAAGATCAAGTCCGGTTGGTGACAGCAACGTCTTCCCGAATCACGTTGGCCAAACTTTGCTCAATTCCTCTGTTTTGCAACCCCCTGCTTCTGTCTAGTTTCACTAGCTTTTGCCAGTTTTCACATTTGTTTTATCATTTTCTCTATAATTTTGTGCAATTTATAGTACGATATTAACAATCACCAAGTTGTCAATGAAATATAAAATGTGGTTGTTATAGTTGACATGCAGATATTCTCCATGTTGCACACATGACTAGTTTTTCTGAACATTTTCTTAAAATATTATTTTTTTAAAAAATTTTTTTTAGATTTATTTATCTATTATGTATACAGTGTTCTGTCTGCATGTATGCTAGGAGGCCAGAAGAGGGGAACCAGATCTCATTACAGAGGATTGTGAGCCACTATATGGTTGCTGGGAATTGAACTCAGGACCTCTGAAAGAGCAGTCAATGCTCCTATCCTCTGAACCATCTCTCCAGCCCTTATTTTTATGTGTATGGGTCTCACCTGCACGGATGTATACTACTCATGTGCCTGGTGCCCTCAGAGCCAGAAGACAGCACGAGGTCCTTGTGGCTAGCGTTACCAATGGTTGTGAGCCACCATGTGGGCGCTGGGCATTGAACCCAGGCCCTCTGGAAGAGCCTCGTGCTCTGAACTGCCGAGCGGTCTCTCCAGTCCTTTGCTGAGCAGCTCGAGAGCAGGCCGCCACATTGCCCACCTTAGTGGTTTGCATTCCAGGGTTTGCCTTTAAAAACAAGGTTCTCAGATACCAGTTATCAACTTCAAGAAACCCAACATTACCTTTTAATATTTATCTTTTAACCAAATTAAAAATTAACTTTTACTAATCTACCATCCTTCTTCCAGCTTTCTCAACTGCCCTCAGAGTTTTCATTACAGCCTTTTCCCCAACTGAGGACCAGGATTCAATCCTGGATCGCGTTATATCTCATTCTCACTTCTCTTGTTACAGGACTCTTTTCTTTCCTTTCCTTTTCTTTCCTTTTGTTTCTCTGTAACTTTGGAGCCTGTCCTGGAACTCTCTCTGTACAGCAGGCTGGCCTCAAACTCACAGGTTGGACACATCTCTCAATGGTGAACCCCCTGAGCCATAAAACATACTTAACAATATCAAAGACAATATACACATTTTAAATTTTACTATAAACATGCTCTTAGGGGCTGGAGAGATGGCTCAGTGGTTAAGAGCACTGCCTGCTCTTCCAAAGGTCCTGAGTTCAATTCCCAGCAACCACATGGTGGCTCACAACCATCTGTAATGGGGTATGGTACCCTCTTCTGCCCTGCAGGCATACACACGGACAGAATATTGTATACAAAATAAATAAATAAATATTTTAAAAAATGCTCTTAGCTGGGTATAGTGTTTGTATTCTTAGCTACTCAAGAGGGTAAGGCAGGAGGATCACTTGAGTCTGAGAGCTTAGAAACTGCCTGGCCAACTAGAAGCTTAAAATACTCTTGAAGGTGCTGGAAAGATGGCCCAATGGTTAGGACCCCTGGCTGGTCTCCCAGAGGACCCGAGTTTGATTCCCAGCACCCACACTGTCATTCATAACTGTCTGCAATTCCAGTCCCAGGAAATCCAGTGCCCTTATCTGTTCTCAGATACCAAGCTGCATATGGTGCACAGCCACACATGTAGGCAAATCATTTGCACACATCAAATAAAATGAATAATTTTTTTCTTTGTGTGTATTCTTGACTGTCCTTTAATTCATTCTGTAGATCAGGCTGACCTCGTGGGCCACCAACCCTGGCAGAATTATTTTTTTAAAGAATGAGGAGATTGTCAGGCAGTGGTGACACATGTCTTTAATCCCAGCACTTGGGAGGCAGAGGCAGGCAGAACTCTGAATTCAAGGCCAGCCTGGTCTACAAGGGCTAGTTCCAGGGGAGCCAGGGCTGTTACACAGAGAAACTCTGTCTCAAAAAAAGCAAGCAAACAAACAAACAGAAACAAAATAAAAAACCAAGGGGATTTATATTACATACAAAGTTTTTATCAAGTAAGATAAAGCAAGCAGAAGATCTGTAGTGGCCATTATTCCTGGAATGATTTTATTTTTAGGGTTCTATGATATTTAAAAATATTCCTGCACTGGGCAGTGCTGGTGCATGCCTTTAACCCCAGCACTCGGGAGGTAGGGACAGGTGGATCTCTGTGAGTTCGAGGCCAGCCTGGTCTGCAGAGAGAGTTCCAGGACAGGTTCCAAAGCTACAGAGAAACCCTGTTTCGAAAACAAAAGAAAAGAAAAGAATCTAACTGGGCTTCCAGACGGGAAGCAGAATTTTCTAGATGGCTCTGGTCTATATCTACTTGGGCACTGGATTTCTTCTTAGTTTTCATCCCCCATGACTAGGGCTGAATTTCAACCGCAGTGGAGCCCATGTTGACACCTGTCCCCACCAACAGGGGAATGAGAACAGGGACCAGCTCGCTGTGTGCAGGGAAGTCTGGAACCAGGTCTAGGTGGGCCCTGGTCTCGTTTTTATTATAGATGAACACCTGTGGTGTAACATGTATGAGGACACAAAGGAATGGCTTCTCTTCCAGTGTAGACAATTCAGAAGACGCACACTTGGTTAAGTCACTAGAGCAAAAAAGTCTCAGGTAGTCTCTGAGGCCTGGAAATACACTCTTAGAATTAGCCTGCTGTGTATAACTACAGGAACCTGCATGGGGGAACTGTTTAGAGGTGACATTTTGGTGACATTAAACAGGCTCAGGTTGGGCCCAACCGCTGTTAGGGTTGGAAGGGCAGCTTATTGTTTGACTGAAACTTTCCAATTCCGACGAAATCTGCGGGCTTGGGGTCCAGGTGTAGTCAGCAGTTCTGACCTATGTCAGGTGAGAGCGGTTAAGGAATGGATATACCCCTTCTAGCATCCTGAACCCTGAGGGGCTGGCTTCCGTTGCCTCCTGGAGGTTACCAAAGGAATTCCTAGGGAAATTGGAGTTTTGGGGTTTGCCTTCTTAGAGCACTCACTCGTATTACAGGGGTACAAAAGGGTCAGTTTGGGCCATGGGCTGAACTGCTTTAAGTTCACGTTTCTTTTGGGTGGGGAAATTGCTGCCTGGACCTGGACAATTTTCGGGGGGGGGGGGGATCTGGACTACGTAAGTATAATTTGACTCCCCAGGTTCTACCAATTCTCCAGAGATGATTTTGGCTTCCTACCAGGCCCTAACCTGTATGGTCATGGGATTTCATTGCTGCGATCACAGTAGGTACTATGAAGGCATTGGTGTGTCCCCCAGGAGGACTCTGTTGGTAACCCCACTGAAGTGCAATGGTTTTCACCTAGCTTCTTGCAGCTCTGGAGTCTGTCGGGTAGGCAGGTATGGTACAGGATAGATTGGAGCCCCTTCCCTTCACTGGTGGACCCATAACCCCAGGGGCACAGTGCTGTGGGACAATGATCTGTACCCTGCCACTTGTATTTTGAATAAACGCTGATTGGCCAGTATCCAGGCAGGAAGTAGAGGTGGGGCAATGAGAATTCTGGGAAGAGGGAAGTTTCAGTCTGCAGCTGTCACCCAGACAGGGAGGAAGCCAGACACAGAGCAAGCAAGATGCGATTGCCTCACTGAGAAAGGTACCAAGCCACATGGCTAACACAGACAAGAATTATGGGTTAATATAAATTATAAGAGTTAATAAGAAGCCTGAGCTAATAGGCCAATCAGTTTACAATAATGTATGCCTCTGTGTGTTTTATGGGACTAAATGAATGTGGGACCTGGTGGGACAGAAACCTTGGGCAACAGCATGGTCTTCCCCAGCAGGGAGCAAATCATACCCCAGGAGCCCCTGGATGTAATGTTTTGCAGAATTCTACTTGGAAGGTGGATTGGGTCTCAGTAAACCAATTGGCTGTGAGCTCTGTGGTTCCGGTTTTTCTTAGTTCTCATACCTAAGGTCCTGGCTTATGGGGGTTTAGGACCCTTTCTAGGTGGAGACAATAGGACAGCCATATTTATATGGTCTGTGTCAATCTTATCCTAGGGGGACTAGGGGACCCTGGTGACAACCCATCTGTCATTATTTCTCAGCTGGGTGTGCTGAGTCCACAGGGTGACATCAGTGATTGTCACTGTTGCTTTGGGTAGGGATTTTCTTTGCCCATAAAAGGTCACAGACTGGAACCCGTGGGTAAGTTCAGCCTCTTGAACCATCTGATGGATATCCCTGGGTCTGTGGTACAGCTTGTAAGGACTCGAGGAGGGAATAGTTAATCACCCATATGAATATCTCTATATGAGGTGCCGCTGGTCCTTCGGAGGGCCAAAGGTTGGCCCCAGTTTTACCTGTCTCAAAGGCATATTTTAAAGTTTCCTTTTATATATATATATATATATATATATATATATATATATATATATATATATAGATATATATATATATATATATATATATAGAGAGAGAGAGAGAGAGAGAGAATTTATTCTTTAACCCAGTCTGAGCTTTGTGGCCAAAAGGTATAGTGCAGTTTTCAATCAACAGTCAGAGCTTTTGTCAGACTTAGGAAGACCTTGACCATGAAGGCTGGGCCATTGTCGGATCCCAAATCTAGAAGTAACGTCCGGGTCTGAGCAACTCAGAGGCTTTAATTGCTCCCAGAAGGGTGGCCTGGTGGAGTTTGGCGACTATCTTCTGATAACGGCAAGAACTACCAGCCCTTTGCCTCCTGTTTGGAATCTTTCCTTTTCGTATACTTGGTTTCTCTGTGTAGGTTAGGTTCTGGGGCCCAGCTTTGGACAGTGTAGCCCGTGTCTGGAGAGGGCCTACTGGTCCTAGGGCTGCCTTCCGGGTGGCCAAAACTGTTGTCCTGTCCCTTGTGCCTGTGGTGATTCCTTTTTTGATATTTTTTTTTTCTGACTGAAACTAAGGAGCCATCGATTACACCACCAGGGCATTACCTCTGCCTTGGCCCCCGTCTGGCTGATAACACTAGCTTAGCTGCTGCCTTGAAGGTGCTCTGTTGGCTTATCGTTCGGCGGCAGACTAGCTGGCTGGGCAGATGGTTGAAGCTTTACAGAATCAGATATGAGGCTGGTCCAGAAGTGTCTGACCGTTATTTGGCTCAGCATTTAAGAGACCTAGCTGCTTTTGCAGAGGACCTAAATTCAATTCCAATCCTTTTTAAAATTTAATTTTAGAATTATTTATTTTATTTTATAGTATGAGTGTTCTGTCTGAATGTATATCTGTATTCCATATGCACGCCTGGAGTAGACCTGTGTACCATGCGCATGCCTGGAGTAGACCTGCGCTCCTTGCGCATGCCTGGTGTAGGCCTGCGCTCCATGCGCATGCCTGGTGTAGGCCTGTGCTCCATGCGCATGCCTAGTCTAGACCTGTGCTCCATATTCATGCTTGGTGCCAACAAGTTCAAATGAGTGTGTCGAATCCCTGGGACGGGAGTTACAGACGTTCTTAGCCACCATGTATGTTCAGGGAACCAAACTTGGGTTCTCTGCAAGAGAACAAGTGTTCTTAAATGCTGAGCCACCTCTCCAGCCCACTCTTCTTTAATAACGTCAGACCTAGTAACAGGAGCAAAAATATTTACCAATTTACTTGGAGACACTTATTCTTCATGATCAGCCATGTAAATTTCCTGAGACTGATCCTATTGACTGCTGGGTTGTCCACTGGGAACAAGAACCAACAAGAGACTGAAAACAATCCTATTCCAAAACATCTGACTTTGAAGGCTCTCCCTCGGATAGCTTTCATGATCTCAGGGGAATCTAAGTTCTCTTTAGAACACAGTGGGTGCATTCTGTAAAATACACCTCAAAAGGACCCATCATGGGCATCTAGTATCAACTCCGTAGTCTGATACAGGAGATGCACTGTAGCCTAAGACTATACACATGGGGCAGAAGGAAGTACCCCAAAACAAGTGGACCCCAAATGGCAAAGAAAGGATAGAGGAAGTAACTTCATTGTCTCTTCACAAGAAGTGTTTCTATCTTACCACCAGACAAAGAGGAAGAAATCCAGCTGTAGCCAGAAACACCAAAAAGATGGCACCTGGATCCCCTCTCGCCAGCCCTTCACCACCCTGCAGTGGCCACTGTTGTGGGGCACTGTTGCCATCCCGTGTTAGGGTAGAACACGTGACGTTTTGGCTTATGGGAACCTTTCAGTTCCTAGGTCCAAGCATTTCTGAGGAGTCACAGAAAAGGCAGATCCCTAACTGAGTGGCCCTGCTTGTGAGGGGCTGTGGACAGGGAGAGGGCTGACTCTACTTACCATCTTTAAGGAGCCCACAGTAAAGCTGGCAGGGAATTGCTCCACCGGGTGTCTTAGGGTTCCTGTGGCTGTGGTGAAGCACCAAGACTAAAAGCAAGCTGGAGAGGAAAGGATTTGTTTAGCTTACACTTCCTATCATAGACGGCAAAGGCAGGAGGGCAGGAACTCAAAACCTGCCAGGAACCTGCTTGCTGGCCTTTGGGCTTGGTCAGCCTGCTTTCTGAAACACCAAGGGCCACAAACCCAGACACGACCCCACTCACAGTCACCTGCGCGCTCCCGCATTAATCGCCAATTAAGAAAATGCCCTACAGGGGCTGGAGAGATGGCTCAGCGGTTAAGAGAATTGCCTGCTCTTCCAAAGGTCCTGAGTTCAATTCCCAGCAACCACATGGTGGCTCACAACCACCTGTATTAAGGTCTGGTGCCCTCTTCTGGCCTGCAGGCATACATGCAGACAAAATATTGTATACATAATAAATAAATAAATATTTAAAAACAAAACAAAACAAAAAAAAAAAGAAAATGCCCTACAGGTTTGCCTATAGCCTGATCTTACGGAAGCATTTTCTCAAGTTGAGAGTACCTTCTCTCAGAAGACTCCGGTTTGTGTCAAGTTGATGGAAAACTAGCCAGCACAGAGGTCCACCTGGCACGTGACCAGAAAGGAGTTTCTAGATGACAGAGAAAACCCTCAACGCTTATCTATGTCGAGTCAGCCAGTGGTGATTGCACGAAAGCGACGGAGATGGTACTTTCTGGTGGTGCTCAAAGCAAAAGGAAGTGGGGGGAGGGGCTCCTAGGAGGGTCCACATCCCAAACAGTGAGGAGAGAAGAGGGACCTTGGAGTGAGTTACGCACGGACAGCACAGGCTTTGGTTCGGAAAAGAGCCTGCACAGGGGCCTCCAGCGTAAGCACAGTCTGTTGTCTGTTCACAGCGAGGGCTAAGGGCTAGAAAGGGGCAGAGGACAGGGAGCTGAAGGTTTCCCCTTGGTTTGCAGTTGATCGTAGCTAAGGGTAGGTAGGCAGGAAGGTGTGTGGGGGACTGAAAAGTGTTTGGTTACCGGTAAGCCCTGCTTGTGGACAGCCGTCACAGTGTAGGGAGGACGAGGATCCAGCAGAACGAGCCACTTACGTTTGGGAATTGTCATTGTTCCGCCAGGATGGAAGGAACTTTACAAAATGCCGTGGCTGTAGCTAACATTCCCTCTCAGGGTCTTCCCGCCACTCCCAGCTTAAGGCCTTCCCCAATCCATATCTCTTGGGTTGACACATGGCTGACAGAAGAGAATTTGGTACATCGAGTTTTTTCTGCCACAGATGTACAAGACTGAGCCAAGCAACCGCCATCACGGGGAGTTCAGCTGTGATCACATGTCACCATAGCTGATGTAAACAGCTTACATCCTTTCATAGATGGGTAGGGAGGGTCACGGGACCCTCACCTGTGTGTCTTAGGGAGGAGCTAGACTATAGGGTGGGAAAAAACAGTGGAAAGGCCTCCATCCTACAGCTAGGAAAGCCATCTCCTCCGCCCCCAGCAGAGACTTTGTGGGGTGTCCTTTTGGGTAGGGGAAGCACCTATACTCCAGTGAGTCATCCCTCATCTGTGTTCTTGGCTCCCCAGAGTGCCCTTTGGTGGGTTTGTGACTCAGTTTTCCGTTCACTGGGCCCACGAGAGGAGCAGTAGGCGTTGCTTACCCCTGAGAAAGAGCTTTAGTTAACACCAGGAGAGAGAAAAGAGATCACTAGGAAAAGGCTGCAATGGTTACTAAGTAGATTGGTGCACTTCGAAGCTGGAGGGTCCCTTGTTCCTCTGCCGTGTCCTTTCTACTGAACGAGTAGTATCAATATTGACAGTGTATCAGTAGTCTATAACAACAACTTGCATTCAAAGTGCCAGGGAGATTTGAAAAAAAAAATTGCTTTTGACTTTGACAGGGAACGTTGCTGATCTGTTCCCCAGTCTGCTGCCACATGCTGTCTGCTGTATTCAGCATGGGAGCCTTGCAGGCTGACTAGCCTGGTCTTCAGCCAACCTTTTACTAAGTTCAGGCGAGTACACTCATTAATGGAAAGAACCCAGCTAGATGTCATAATGTCACACAGCCCCCTGTCAAGTCACAGAACATCCTGTTAGTTTCAGATCTCATTTCAGATGGGTGTGAGCCACCATGTGGTTGCTGGGAATTGAACTCGGGACCTTTGGAAGAGCAGGCAGTGCTCTTAACCGCTGAGCCATCTCTCCAGTCCCCTCCTGTTAGTTTCAGAACGGGCCGATTCTGGCAGCTGCTTGCTCTATGACCCACTGAGTTGTGGCTTCAGCCCTGAGCTGTTGATTTTCTCAATTCCCTCAAAGAGGTATTACTTCGTTTTTGTGTTTTAAACAAGGCGGGCCTATTTCATAGGTATCTGAAATATTTTTTTTAAATATTTATTTATTCATTTATTTATTATGTATACAATATTCTGTCTGTGTGTATGTCTGCAGGCCAGAAGAGGGAACCAGACCTCATTACAGATGGTTGTGAGCCACCATGTGGTTGCCGGGAATTGAACTCAGGACCTTTGGAAGAGCAGGCAATGCTCTTAACCTCTGAGCCATCTCTCCAGCCCCCTATCTGAAATATTTTAATTGCAACTTTCTCTTCTTGGAGTATGGAGAAGTTTTCTTTTGGATACAGTCATTTTCATTTTAAACTAAGCCTCCATTTAGAAACTTTTTTTTTAACAGAAAAGGAAGTAACCAAGGCTAGAGACGGCTGAGCAGGTAAAGGTACATGCTGAGCAAATCTGGACCTCAATCTGTGGAGCCCACGTAAAGGTGGAAAGAGAAAGAGAAGCTGAAGGGATGGTTCAGTGATCAGAAGCACTCAGTGCCCTTCCAGAGGATCAAGATTCAGCCCCACATGCCAGCTAACTACTGTCTATAACATCCGGCCCCAGGAACCTGATGCCCCGTTCTGGCTTCCTTGGGTGCTGTATGCAAAGTCATACGTGCAGACAAAACACCTATACACATAAAATGAAAATTAAAAAGGAGAAAAATTAAAGAAGGAAAGAGAGAACCAACTCTACAAAGTTGTCCTCTGACCTCCACATGTATACTGAGACACACACATGCCCACACACATACAAATAAATAATTTTTTAAATATTTATTTATTTGTTATGTCTACAATATTCTGTCCGTGTGTATGCCTGCAGGCCAGAAGAGGGCACCAGACCCCATTACAGATGGTTGTGAGCCACCATGTGGTTGCTGGGAATTGAACTCAGGACCTTTGGAAGAGCAGGCAATGCTCTTAACCTCTGAGCCATCTCTCCAGCCCCCCAAATAAATAATTTTTAAAAGAAAAAGGATTTTATTTTACTCATGTAAACACAGACCACCTTCTTACAAGACACATATAGCTTGGAGTTCTTTTAATAAGAACATGTGACAACATGCCATTTAAAGTTTGTGTACAATCCTCATTTAATTCCAGCATAGAAGCAGAGGCGGGGGGATCTCTGAGTTTGAGGCCAGCCTGGTCTACAGAGTGAGTTCCAGGACAGCCAGGACTACACAGAGAAATTCTGTCTCAAAAGAAGAAAGAAATTGAAAGCAGATACTGCATGTTCGAATCCTAGCAAGAGGGAAGATACTCAGGATTATTAGTAACTTGACTTCCAGGGGGCCCAATGCTCCCTTTTGGTAAGCCACCATGTGAGTTCTGGTCCTTTCTAGAGAAGTAAGTACTCTTAATAACTGAGCTACCTCTCTAGCACCTCTCCTCTCCTCTGCTATCCATCTATCCATCTATCATCTATCTATCAATCATCTATCAATCTATCATCTCCATCATCTCCCTCCCTCCTTCCTTCTCTATCCCTCTCTATCTCCCTCTCCTTCACCCCCCCCCCCCCCCCGCATCAGGAGCCTGTGCTGGTCACACATAACTTTAATTACATCTCTTTCCATCCATCCATATGTCCTTCCGTCCATCTACTTGAGGGCTTCTTGAGGGCCACAGCACATATGTGGATGTCAGAGAATAACTTGAAAGAGTTTTTTTTCCGTTTTGCCACCTTAAGGGTGTTAGGGTGTGTCGCCTCACTAGCCCACAGGCTTAACCTTTCTTCAAACTTGTGGGTTGGGTGTGTTCTTTCAACCTCTTGATTTCCTGGATCATATCACATAGGTGTCTAGGGTTTTGACTGGTGGGGTGTGTAAAGTAACCACAGGACTGACACTGGTACAGGATTTGACTTAGAACTTTAATGGCCTCCTGACTACTAGTCACCACACTGGAGGCCGCCGCTACGACTCCTGGGACGTCAGAGTTTTTAGACTCCACGTGCACCAAAAGATGAACAGGCAACACCGATCCCACAGGGCTCAGACCAGGCTCTCAACCTCCGGTGTTGTTCAGAGTCGATGATCTCAGCTTCCAACCACCATGGGCATGGCTGCCTTTCCCACATGCTTCTTAGCCTCAGCTGAGCCTCCACAACTGCCTTCCTTCACCCAGAGGCTGTGATAGGTCAAACTGAGGCACATGACTTGTGATTGTCTCATGCCCCTGTGGTAGGTCAGAGTTTGGTCTGTTTAAGAGTCATTATGTTTTAAATTCTGTGTGTGTGTGTGTGTGTGTGTGTGTGTGTATAAAATGTGTGAGTATTGTGTGTTTATGTGTGCCGTGTGCCTGCAAGAGCCCATGGAGGTCAAAAGCAGGCATCGGGTATTCTGGAACTGAGGTTGTGGGAGGCCATGTGCCTAACTTGGATTCTGGGGCGTGTACATGGGTCTTTCTGCGAGAGCATTAGGTGTTCTTAACTACTGAGTCATCCCCGGAACTCTGTTTTTAAAGATGTATTTCTTTGCTTTATGTGTATGGGTGTTTTCCCTGAATATATGTCTGTGTGCCACATTTGTGCCTAGAGGTTAGAAGGGGTAGTCGGATCCCCAGGGATTGGAGTCACACAAATGTGAGCCACCATGTGATTGTTGGGAATCAAACCCATGTCCTCTGGAAAAACAACCAGGGATCTTAACCGCTGATCTGTCTCTCCAGCCCAGCTCAGCTTTTAAAAGTTGGTCCTGGTGACTGGCCCCTGAGTCATATGAAGTGATTAACATTGGATTTTTTTTCCCCGATGCTTGTCTGCATTAATCATAGCTCAGTAAAATCTACAAGGGAGTTAGAGAACTGTAAGGACCTTGGCTTGTGCTGGAATGGGCTGTCTATCTTCTGTCTTTTCTTCCTTTTTCCTTCTGTGATCAGCATTTCTCTGCTTCCCCTCTCCCCCGTCTCGAATACACACACACACACACACACACACACACAAAACTGAATCTGAACACAATGGCATAGGTTTTTAATTCCAGCACTGAGAAGCCTCCTGCTTTTGCTGGTCTTTCATCTCCACCAAGGTCAAATGCACCCTCTCAAATTATAGGCCAAAACCAGTCTTCTCTTCCTTAATTATATGTTGTTCAGGTGGTCACAGCAATGAGAAAATTAACTAGCACCAAAAACTGAAATTAAGAAGTGGACCCATGGGCTGGAGAGATGGCTCAGCGGTTAAGAGCATTGCCTGCCCTTCTAAAGGTCCTGAGTTCAATTCCCAGCTACCACATGATGGCTCACAGCCATCTGTAGTGAGATCTGGTGTCCCCTTCTGGTGCGCAGGCATGCATGCAGATAGAACACTGTATACACAATTAATAAATAAATCTATCTTTTTTTTAAAAAAAAAAAGTGTACTTATTGACTCACCATGTAGCTCTTACGCATTTGGAACTGCTTGCTGGAAGGAATGTGGAGGGTTGCAAACTGAGTTAGAAAATCTCCAGAACTCTGTGTGTAGCGTTTAATGAGCTGTTCTTGTGGCAGTCTGGAAGATCAGAACGCTGAGAGAAAGGTGAGCACCGGGGCCTGGCCCAAGTAAGGGTTTAGGATGTGTCTTAGCAGCCGAGCACTGACCTTCACTCATGGGACTCTGTGTGCGACCTCTAGCAAAAGCTCTTTTTAAGGTTCCACAATTAAGTGAGAACATATGATATTTGTTATTCTGTATCTGGCTTATTTCATTTAACATGATATCTTCCAGTTCCCTCCATGCATCTGTAAATGACAAACTATCCTTTATTCTTTTTCTTGAAAAAGTTTTCATAATACATACTATATAAATATATTTAGTATTATATATGAATATATATATTGAGATATGGTCTCTCGATACATCCCTGACTGTCTTGGTATTTGCTATGTAGAGCAAGATGGTCTAGAACTGACAGAGATCCACCTTCTTCTGCTTCCAGAGTTCTGGGATCTAAAATGTCTTTCACCACCCCCACCTCATACAATATATTTGCTCATGCTTTCCCCTCCCCCATACTTCCATTATTTTCGTTGAACAAATACCGCGCAGTAAATTTTCCACCGCCTTCTCATTGGTTGATAGATATGCAGTTTAACTTAGTGTCTTGGCTGTGGTTAACAGTGCCACAATCACCATGTGAAGGTTAGTACCGTCATTGCTTTTCCCGTACAAACCAAGCAGTGGGATTTCCGGGTCATATTCTAGTTAGTAATTTAAAATACTTACCAAAATAGCTAGGTATGAATTATACTTATGACAGGGTGAAACTGATTATAATTACTTGCTCATGTGCCTCAACTTTGACATTTTTAAAAGAGATTTAAAGTGTGCGTGTGTATGTGTGTGTGGCCTGCATGTATGTGTGTGTTCCACAAAAGTGCCTGGTGTTCTAGGAGGTCAGGAGAGGGCGTTAGTTCCTCTGGAACTGATCATAGGTGGTTGTGAACCATCTGGCTGCTGAGAACTGAATGAATCTGGGCCCTCAGCAAGAGCAACAAGTGCTCTTAACCACTGAGCCAGCTCTCCAGCACCCGCAACCCCCTTCCTTTTCTTTCCCTCATTCTGAGCGAAACAGAGACAGAGACGGACAGACAGAGACGAGGAAGTGGAGAGGGAGAGGTAAGTGTTGGAGGGTAGTTAGGAGGAATTTGTTTTGGCTTTAGCTTTTCCCAGGATTTTGAAATCACTTCACTTAGTGTGAAAAAAAAATATGGAGCCAACTTCAATTGTTTTCAGAGATAACAGTACTCTTTGCCGCTCTTGGTGACAGCCAGGGCTTCTGAGCAGGAGCAGACACGATAAACCAGTTTGGGAACACAGAGGAGGTTTGCATTCAATCTTACTTAAACATTTAAAAGGCAGTCAATATTGATTCAGGGCCTATTTTGTTCCAAGTATAGAACATGAACTTTCCATAAATATTTAATTTAGTTTTCACAACTTCATGGATCAGAGACTTTTGAAAAAAATGTTTGTTTATAGAGTGGGGAAATATCAAGGAGAGAGAGAGAGAGAGAGTCTCACCATGATGGCTGGCTGACGTTGAGCAGGTTGGCCTTCCCGCTCACAGAGATCTTCCTGCCTCTGCCCCTGCCTCCTGAGTGCCCGGAGTAAAGGCTGCACCAACACACCCAGCTCCTTTCCTCTCTTCCTGTGTGTTACTCTGTTTCTTCACCCTTCCTCCTTTGCCATTCTCCATTGCACTTGGGACAGCTTTCTCTGACTCTTATTTCAATGAGCTTTCCTTCAACAAAACCTAAACTACTCTTGGTGTTGTTCGAAAGGAAACATAAAAGAAATTGTGATCGAGAGCAGGTGGCTCACACCAGTAATACCAGCGCTCAGGCGGCTGACCTCAAAAATATTTACATCAAAAGATTACCTCAAATTTGATGCCAGCCTGGGCTACACTGGGAATTCCACGACAGCTTGGGCTACAGAGTAAGAAAGGGTCGGAACAAAGTTCCGCAGTAAAGTATAGTGAACCCCTACCTCCTGTCACCCTGCTTTAACAATGGAGATAGTTTAATTTTGTTTCGTCTGTTCTCCAACACTTCCTGACGTGCCTATTCTTCCCCTGACGGCCCCTCCCAGTCTCAGGAGTTCTTTCCTTAATAATGAATGCATTCCCTCTGCTCAAAACAGTGGAACGACATGTTCCAGGCCTCACACCATTTCACAGGCAACCCCTATGTACCACGAAGGGTTACGGCCATAATAACCAGTATTACAGGTATCAACTGCTGGTTGATATTGTTATCCAATCTGTGTCCAGAGCTCCCCAGTTAGCTCATGAAGGTGCCGTCATAGACTCAAGATCTGGTGGTTGTCAGCAAAATTCTTTATCTGTAACAATTGTTCTTTCTTTTTTCTTTTTTTAAAGGATTTATTTATTTATTTATTTATTTATATGTATACAATGTTCCCTGTATACATGTGTCCCTGCAGACAGAAGTTGGCACCAGATCTTATTACAGGTGGTTGTGAGTCACCATATGATTGCTGGGAATTGAACTCAGGACCTCTAGAAGAGCAGTCAATGCTCTTAACCACGGAGCCAACCCCAACAATTGTTCTTGCTTGTCCCTGATTACGTCCTTGTGTTGCTGTTTGGCACAGACATCTCTTTCTCATGTTTCCTGTAAACTGGTGTTACTTTTAGAAGGTTTTTTTTTTTTTTTTAAGAATTCTTTGCTGACAACCCTAACTTCCTCTCAGATCACATATTATGGTGGAACCCTGGCTGTTGCTTTCCTGGTGTTCTGTTGTTTAATACATTTATGCAAACAGTATCTTTACACAGCGGTCACAGGCCCTTGAACCTCTTACTCAGTACGTCTGGCAGGCAGTGGCAACTGTTGCGAGGTCAATTCTTTCATTAGGACTGGAAAAGTACAGGTAAAGTATAATGAATTCCTGTGTCTGAAATCCGAGATGCCCTGAGATCCAAAACTTTCTGGCACTAAGTTGTCAAACTGAAAAAATTCTGCAGATAGTGATTCAGTGGTTAAGAGTGCTGACTACTCGTGTAGAGGATGTAGGTTTGTTTTCCAACACCCACATGACCACTTACAGATGGTCCAGGATCCCCCAAGCCCACTGGGACGACCACCCATAGAACCGTCAATCAGCCGGTAAGTTTTCTGTGTTTTGTTTCATGTCTTCTGTCTGTGTCTCATGTCTTTCTGTGAGCAGGCCCACGAACCATAAGTCCTATAGATGATCTAGGTGGAAGCAGGGAAAGATCGTAGGCGGGGCGCCTGGAGGAGACGTCCCCAGGGCCCTTCCGCAGAGGATGGTTCCCTATGGTGAGACACCCGGGTAGCAGTCTCGGGTCTGTGTAGAGACAAGCAGGTAGCAAGCAATCTCATTTCGATAGAGGGACGGGTCACACCCACAAAATAGATTGAAACTGTCGTCTTTGGTTTGGTTTGGCGCCATAGTCCTGTGTCTGTGTGTCGTGTTTTAGTCCTGACTTATAGAACGACGCTGACAATATGGAACAGACTCAAATCATGACTTCTTTGACTTTGATATTGTGATCACTTACAGGACTTTAGAGATAGGGCCATAAGAATAGGGGTATAGTTTCCTTGTCGCCTTAAACATTTCATGAAAAGGAGTCAACCTTGGCCCCAAGCACGGGACTACAGGCAGCACGCTAATATGGATGGGTGGCTGGGTTATACACCCTGTTGCTACAATGTAACAAGGCTGCCAACCACAGCTGTAGGGGGCAGACGTGCCCCAATAGGATTTCAAACATTGAACAAAGAATCTAGGGTTAATTGCCGTGACTGGAGAGGTTAACAATCTCCCCCACCTCCCGCAATGCCGTATACCACCCTGCCCCCTCCCTCTGCCCGCCCTGTGGGCTGCATAACTCAACTTCTGGTCAAACCTGACCAAGGTTAAGCTCTGCGGGTCAAGGACTCTGGCTATAGAAGTTGCTGCAATGGCCGTGTTGTGACACTGTAGCCAGACTTCCTTCCACCAGATGCTTTGATCATTCAGAACCAATGTGTCACAAATATCTGTCATCTTTTATAGGGGTTGGTTACAAATTATTTGTTAATGTATGAAAAAAACTACTCTTGGTCTCAACTGTTTCACGCTGGTACAAGACTTTATATGATGTAAATTTAAAGGTTTTTTTTGTTATAGTATATGCATGTTTCTGTTTCTGTTTAAAATATTTATAGCCATACAATATATCATATACCACTGAGGGAAATCACAAGAAAGACTTTGGTAAGAATTTTTATGTAGTCTGTAAAGCGAGGGAGAAAGGAGGAGACTGAAAGAAGGAAGAGAGGAACACGGATTGAAGGTATATAAAAAGTTATAGAAGGTCAGAAGGGGATGTGAACTATGTTTGCTGTGGTTTCTTATACCTGCAAATACTAAATGTGCTTGTTTTGCTGAAAAGGTTGTCTACTAAAGTTTCCTTGCAAGCATGAAGCTGAGACAGAAATGGTCTATTTTTGCTGTCTCTGCCACCCATCACTGCTGTGGCCACATTTACGGGCCTTACTTCAGAAATTTATCACTGATTTCTGATTCCTGAATTTGGGTTAGCAAAAATTCAGATGACTTTTTGGTTTAGATAATGTTAAAAGTGCTATATAATGGTTTGTTGTTGTTGTTGAAAAGTTGGCTCTAGAATTGAATTATGGCTCTTCCTTTGTTAGATCTATGTTTTATTTACTTAAAATCTATGCATGAGTAATTTATAAGAATCCATAAGACATAATTCCATTTTAAATTTTGGATTGTCATTTTGCTAGAGTTAATATTTAAACTTAAAATAAAAGGCTAAAAATTAGGGTCAGAGCCATAAGCACCAAAAGCTAACCAGAAACAGAATTCTTCTTTTCTTGTGATGCAGAAGACAATGGCCTAAGCAGTTTGATAGAGGGCTTGGAACAGCGTCCAAGCCTGTGAATCTCAATCTTTTGGGGGTTGTACAGGGGTAGTCTGGGACCACCTGCATGTCAGATGTTTAAATTAAGATTCACAGCATAGGCAAAACTGCAGTTGTAAAATAACTATGGGAAAAATTCTGTAATGGGAGGATCACTATAACATAAAAAACTATATTAAAAGATAAAAGCATTTAAAAAATATTAACTAATGGTTTAAAATTATATTTCCTTGTTCAAGGTCTATTCAGGCTTAAAAATGTATGTTTAGTCTCCTTATCTTTGCTGACTTTGTTGGGTTTAAGCTATTTGGATAGATTGAGTCATAGATTTTTGTATTGATACTAAGAGGTTTGGACCTCCTCTTCTGGGGAAAAAAATGTCTCTAAATCACTCCAGGGTAATTAGAGATTCAGTGGCCTTGTTAATGATAGAGAACAGAATGCTCATGCAAAATCTGGATGGTATGAAAACTTGTTCAACTGGTCTCCTTGGTTAACCATCTACTTTCAGCTCTAACGGGCCCCTAATGATCTTGCTTCTTCTTATCAACAGACTTGATGGCTTTTGTTCCAGAATGGGTTAATACTGTTTGACTGATGGTACTGAGGTCCCAGTATCACCCCCTCGAGCCCCTGAACAGACAGGACCCATGATTGAGTCCTGTCATAAGTACTTGTGAAGGGGGAAAAATGTAGGGCCCAGGGCAGCTTTCCCAGGGCAACTTGATACACACCTGCCAAGATGGGTTCTATAGCTCAGTAGAAAAGTAGACCTGAGTCTCAGTTTGCCCTAGGGCAGTGCCAGCTCTTAGACTCCCTCCGGTTCCCATTTCTCCCTGGGACCCCTTCTTTGCCTTTGCAGGAGACAGCATTAACAGCTAGATACAAACTTGTTCTGTGTTTACCCTCGGAATGACTAATTCAGTTTCTTTATTAGTTTCAACTCAAAATCATTACAGTGTGGAGTTCTAGTCTTGTGAAAGCTGCTAATGTATTATAGACTGTTAGGAAGTACAAGTTGGTCAATCATCTTTAAAGTACTGATATAATTAGTTACAAAAATAAACCTTATTTAAAACAAGAAATAAAAAACAAAGTTTGCCTAATCAGACATACCTAGGCAGCACTCATACTTCAGAGATCTGCAGAATACGGCATTTAAAATAATAATTAAAAAGTTTATTATATTTGACAGAGACTCCGAGATCCTAGCAGTAACCTGAGGTCTCCAGAGAAGATTATGAGACACCAGATGTTTCCACCTGGATTATGACGACGCTGACCACTGGGCGAGGTGCCCCAGTGCAACACCTGCTGCCAGGACCTGGTCCAGACTGTGGACAGACAGCAGGACCTTGGAGAATTGATTGCACCTCTTTTTCCTAGACAAAATAAAGTCAGTATTTTCCATGCCCCTCTTCCACAGGAAAAAAAATTCACCTTATGGGTCTGGCTTAGACAGTAAGCCTGGATATTTCTGCCTCCAATGCTATGGAGACCTGGGTATGGCTAACTGTATATGGACTCTGGTCCCTGTAGTTTTTAATAGATTTGAAACTATTTGGTCTGTACTCAGATATACTTTATCCTTCTGAGATCTCTGATAGTATTAATGGCTAGGGCAGTAATAATGTCAGTTTAATAGCAAAAGGTATCCAGATTCTTCCACAAAGCTATAGTCAACTTGTTAGCTAGTACTCGAAGGTGTGAGTCTATACCTCCTGTTTACAGACATCTGTTATCTGCTCTTTTTCTAAGTTTTAACTTCTGTTCCCAGTTTAAACTTATCTCAATAGGCTTCCACTTGACTGACAGACGCATCTAAGCATCAGCTGCTGACTACAACCTACTCTGAATGGCGGCGAGCCCTGGGCTTCCTGAAAGCTGATGTGGACCAGTCCAGCTGATATGAACACTTCCTGTTCCTTCAACGAAGTCTGATGAGTGCCCCATTGCCTAAATTCCCTCCCCAGCTTTGGCTAGCCTTTCAACCTGCTTGGGCTCTGATAACAACACACTAACGTCAGGTTGAAGTAGTTGCGGAAAGGAACACATTGTCCCATGCTCCTTGCCCAAGATAGATTGGAAGGCTGAGACAAGAGGGAACTCCCTGGCATGGGGGACAAGATAATCACCTATAGTGCCTGTTAATATACTAAAAAAAAAATAGGCTCAAAGTTGTCAATTAATGGATTTATTAATTTAAATAGTTCCATACCTCCTTAAAACCAGGGGCAAGCAGTACCCAATATTGGGTCCTGTCATTGGTGCTTGTGAAGAGGGAAATGTAGGAGCCAGCCTTGATAATCTAAATATGAACAGATCACTCAAAGGAAGTTCTTTACTTCCAACCATTAACACCTGCCAGAGTAGGACTGGGCCATCAGTAAAATTAAATGAAGGCTTGAGTCTCAGTAGTTTACCCTGAAATTATACCTGGTTTCAGGAAGAACCACAAGCTGAGATTACCCGACAACCACCCCAAAACAGACCCTCCAAAGGAAATGCCTAACATTCTAACTGCTGTAGATAGGATCACCTGCCAGCACACTCACCAGGACACCCCTAGACAAATGTCAGCCAATCAGGGGTCCTGAACCTCAGAAACCCCTCACCCCCACATTTCCTACTATAAAAAACCCTCCTACTGAGCTTGGGGCTCTCTTTTTATTCTAATACATTGGACAGGCGGAGAGACCGCGTCTGCAAACTTGCATAAAATAAAGGCTGTTTGCTTTTACATACAGGACTTGGTCTTGGTCTCCTTGTTGGCTTTAGGGGGACTTTGCGGATTTGGGCATAACAATTCTCACTATGTGTTATGGGAGTTCCCTACGCCTTTCCCTCTGGAAATGCTGGATGGGCTTTGGTGGCAGATGAAGATGTACCCAATCGCAGTCTCTTAAAATAATTCTTGGGGGAAAAAAAATTCCTGCCACCGTGGAACCATCCAGTGTGATAACTCTGCCTACTCCCACACTAGTCACCACCAAGCTGCTAGGACATCTGGAGGAGTAAATACAAGCTTGATAAATAAGGTATATTTGGTAATCAAGATTTATAAATCCCTATGGTCTACTCAGGCTCACGCTAATATTTCCTTAGCTTCCTCTGTGCCCACTCCAAGCTGTATCTATTTGGACAAACTAAATCATACAAGAAAGTACAATATTCTATAATGGAATGTCTGAACCCCCACCCCACCCCCACCCCCTGAGAAAATCCTTTTCCCAAGGTCAGGCATTTAGTCGAAAGCCTCCATCCCTTCAGGGGCTTGAAGAAAGTTCCTGAACGATTAAAAAGGGAGTCCTGTGGTACTTCTATTAACCCAGGACTGGTGCCTATTAACTTGTCAAGGTCAATGCTAGCTTCCTCAACCCCTCCCCCATGACTCCACAAGTTCTCTTTGGGACCTGTTGTGGGATATTTGTACACTGTGTGAAGGCAGGAGGCATAGACGGGATTTCTGAGGCAAGAAAGAAAGAGGAGAAGGAGCCTAGGTTCACAGGAGATAACAGAAGACATGGAGAGGAAGCAGGGGGTGCAGGATGGAAGAGAGGTAACGCCATGGGATGTGGTAGACCGTAGACTAATAGAAATGAGTTTATTTAAGTCATAACAACTAGTTAGACCAGGCGGTGGTGGCACACGCCTTTAATCCCAGCACTCAGGAGGCAGAGGCAGGCGGATCTCTGTGAGTTCAAGGCCAGCCTGGTCTACAGAGCTAGTTCCAGGGAAGGCTCCAAAGCTACAGAGAAATCCCTCTCAGAAACAAACAAACAAACAAGCAACTCGTTTCTGCATCATTATTTGGGAGCTGACTGCAATACAGAAATAGGCTCATTATAGGGACCTATGCTCTCAGGCACCTGAACTGATATATTCACACACACACACACACACACACACACACACACACACACATATATACATAATTTAAAAAAATAAAAACAGGGTAGAGGGGCCTTGGAGTTGGCACAGAACACATTCAGACACCAAAGTCTCAGCACAAAGGAGGTTTATTTATTAAGCAAGATAGAGAGGCAAGGTGGCTGAACCTGAACTGGGCAGAAACAGCAAGTGACTCAGCAGGAGGGATTTTAAAGGAGAAAAACGGGAAGTCGGGGCTAGGACAGGTTGGTAGGTTTTGATTGGGCTTGTCAATTAGGGTAGTCAAATGGGGGGCTTTGATTAGGCATGTTAATTATGATAGCCAAATGGGAGACTTTGGCATGCTAATTAGGGTAGCCAAAGAGGAATTTTGATGCTGGCCCTTGGTATTTTGATAAGTAGACCTCAGGAATGAGTTATGCATGAGGAAGTGGTCAAACAGGACTTTAGGGGTTTAGCCCAAGAGAGAAGGGAAGGGAAGGATCTGCAGTCAGCCTGTTTGGGCCGGTTAGAGCCCTTCACACAGGATGCTGGGGATATGGCTCAACAACTAAGAACACATACCGAGTTAAGTTCCCAGCTCCCATACCAGATGGCTCACAACCACCTGCAACTCCCGCTCCATGCGAGCTCATGCTTCTGGCGTGAGCACATATGAACACAGACCCACACATATACACATAATCAAAATACTAAAGCAAATTCTAAACAAAGCTTAAAACATCTTTAAAAAGAAAGCAAAACATAGGTGCAGAAAAATATTGTAGAAAATTACCTCAAGACAAGTGAATAAAACATGTAACACATAGGGGACTTCATGTTTAGACTCTTCTCTCACACCCAGAATATCTCAATCTTCAAACATTTCAAAGTCTGTAATCTGTAATACAGCTATCCCAAGCATCTCAGACAAGGGACGCTCACCCCCCTTTGCCAGTAATTGCCTGTAAATGTCCCTTTCCTATGAAAAATAATTGCCTCTTGGACTAATACAGTTACTTAAACCAGTCTTCTCTGTTTGCTGTTGTTGCTACTGCCTTTTTGTTTGTGTATTGGGACAAAATCTCATGTAGCCCAGGTTAGCCTCCAACTAATATGTAGCCGTCTTCGTTAGGGTTTACTATTACTGTGGAAAGACACCATAACCACGGCAACTCTTATAAAGAAAGCATTCAATTGCAGCAATGGCTTACAGTTTCAGAGGTTCAGTCCATTTTCATCATGGCGGCGAGCATGGCGGCACCCAGACAGACACGTCACGGGAGGACTAACTGAGCTTCCTGGATCTTGCAGGCAACAGAAGTCAACTGAGATACTGGGCAGGTTTCCCACCATAGAAACCCTCAAAGCCCGCCCCACAGTGACACACTTCCTCCAACAAGGCCAAACCCCCTCCAACAAAGCCACATATCCTAATAATGCCCCTCCCTATGAGATTACGGGTGGGGGGCCCCGATTCAATTCAAACTACCAGAGTCCACTCCCTGGCCCCCATAAACTTGTAACAGTATAAGAATGCAAAAACGTATTTAGTCCAACTTCAAAAGTCCCATAGTCTATCACAGTCTCAACAATGTTTTAAAGTCCAAAATTTGAAGTCTCTTCTGCGATAAATGCAGTTTCTTTACTGTAACTCCCTATAAAATCAAAAAGAAAAAGTAGATCACGTACTTCCTGTTGCAGCGGGAAGGCAACCTTGGTGGGTTGGAGTCAAGGGGCCCCACGAAGTCATACCATACAACAGAACTCATGTGGGAGGTGTATTGAGGGAGGGAGGCTGCAGAGGCTGCCTCTGGGAGTGAGCAGATGGAGAGAGACAAAAGGGTGACATGGTCTTGCCTTTTATGCCGGGGATATAGTGCATGCACACAGGGATTGGCTGACGCACAGAAGGAGTGGATGCGGCAGATGATGTATACTGCCAGGTCCCTGAGAGCACACCAGCACAAATGCCTGAATACTAACACTTCCAACATGTAAAGGCACGGGATATACCTCACCATTCCCAATGTAGGAAAGAGAGCATAGTGCGGAAATGCTGAACCAAAGCAAGATTGCAAACCAGCTGGGCAAACTCCAAACCCTGCATCTCCATGCTCGATGTCTGAATTGCACTTCTGATCTCCAAATCCATTCAGCTTTGCTCACTACAACACACTTCTTTTTCTTGGGTTGTTTCCACTCCCTGTTCGCAGCTCTCCTGGACAGGTATCCCATGACTCTGTCATCTCTAAGATCTTGGGTTCTCCAAGGCAACCCAGGGTTCAAGTGAACAACTTCATGCAATGACCTCAGGGACACCCCTGACAGGTGCCTGGCCTTAGCAGCTTCCTTTAGGCATGGAGGCAAATTCCATAACTCGTTTCTTTTATTCTTAACTCGAAACCCAGAATCACATGGCTGAAGCTGCCAAGTCTTGCTGCTTACTGGGGCTGAAACTCATTTGATGACATCTTCATCAGCTTTCTGTTCTTCACTGCCTAAGCTTGGCTGTCCTGAAACTTGCTCTGTAGACACTAAGCTGGCCTCAAATTCAGATCTACCTGCTTCTGCCTTCCTAGTACTAAAATTAAAGATGAGCCCCACCATACCAGGCTCAAAGCTTTTCTTTACTTCCTTTTCAGGAGTTGGAAATGTGTCTGGGTGGGACCTTGCCCGGAGGTCACCACTCATTTTACCCCTTTTGTTTTGTTTTGCTTTGTTCTTTGAGACAGGGTTCCCCTGGGTTAACAGCTCTGGCTGTCCTGGAACTCGCTCTGTAGACGAGGCTGATCTCGAACTCACAGAGATCCACCTACCTCTGCCTCCCCAAAGCTGGGGTTAAAGGTATCTTCTACCACTGCCTGGCTTATTCCAATTCTTAATGCTCTTTTTCTCCTCAAAATTTACATTTTGTAATTTACCCTGCCCAGCTTGCTCCTTTCCATAATAAGTCTTTCTAGACATGAACACTAGTAACCACACGGCAGCGTCTGTAGTAGGCTGTTCTGAGATTTCCTCTGCCTACAGAATTAATCACAAACCTTTCACTTTAGCCTCCAGACTCTTCGGACAAGGACAAAAGGCAGCCACTGTCCACACCAAAATATCACAAGAAGGATCTCTAGGGACCATACTAAACTTCTTCTTCTCTGAAACCCCTTGAGCGAGCCCCATCAGTTCAAATAACTCTTAGCATCTCTGTCTTCCATGCTCCTATTAGTATGCCCCATTAAGCAGTGCTTAAAGCATTCTACTGCTTTCATAACCCAGTGTAGCAAAGACCATATTCCTTCACACAAAAACACGGTCAGGCCTATAACAGTAATAGACCAGTCCCTGGTACCAACTTCTGTCTTAGTTAGGATTTCTATTGCTGTGAAAAGATCCCATAACCACGGCAACAACAACAACAATTTAATTGGGGCATCTCAATTATAGTTTCATAGAAATTGTTTCAACAGGAAATTGACTGAGATACTGGGTGGTATCCTGAGTATAATGGTCTGTCATGTTCCTTTAAGAGACAAGCCCCACCCACTTCCTCCTCTGAGGCAAGTGGATCTTCCTTTGCTTCTAGCCTGAACTTCCTCTTTTCTGTCTCTCTCCAGAAGAGGTCGCTTCTCCTCTCCTCTCTTCTCCTCTCTGTCTCTCTCTGTCTCTGTCTCTGTCTCTGTCTCTCTCTCTCTCTCTCTGTTTTTCTTTCTCTCTCTCCCCTCCTGTCTCTTTTCAGAAGAGGTGGTGGCTGCCATGACTCCTCTCCTCTCCCCCCCTCTTTCTCTCTCTCTCTGCTTCTCTCTGCTCTTCCCCTTCTCCCCTTCCCCCTTCTCCCTTTCCCCTCAATAACCCACTAAATAAATACCCACTTTCTCCACATGG